ACAATTCAATTAAGCTGTGATATTGCGTAAAATATCTGTGGCTAGGACAAATCATCAGCATCCTTTTTCCTGCTACACCGTGGACATCACCTCAAATCGATACCTGAATATGGTTGCCTCTGGGTCTCAATAGATTGTAATTACGTCCAATCCATTCCCATTGGCGAGTGCTTAGATGACAAGCGACCGTATATCACCAGGTCAAATTGTGAGGACATGTGTTATCAGTAAATGCCATGAGTGGGTGCCATCCGCGCATGACTACATACAAAAGAGCCGAGCTTGCCAGATGGCAGAAGGTCTATACTCACCAACACGCTGCGCAAGCGACAAATTGCATCATCGGTTTCGAGCAAAATTTAATTGCCGAGGACAGCGACCGGAAAAGACCCGTAAGTTTGGGTGATGCCCAGGCAGGTTGAAAACAGGGATGGCAGCATGAACATGCATATTAGGGAGGATCATCTCCAAGACCCGCCAGTCTATTGAAGTTGCTACCCTCCTTGATGACGAGACACTATTCAAAGTCTCCACTGCTGGAGGGGGTCAATAGATGGTCACATGGATCAGTCCCGCCACAGTCAATTGAACTTTGGCATCCTTGCAGGGATACCACTGTGGTTAGTTTCCTAAAGGAAATCAGCAGCGTCGCAACAATTAGGCGACATATGTCGGTAAGCTGACACACAAGTGCAATGATGACCGAGAACCAATGCGCTCGTTGACTATCGGCCCCTTTAGGAGGCTTGCGATGATCAAAATCTTCCTTTATCAAAGACTAGCCAGCAATCCTTCAGGGAATCCACTTGGAAGCCTGGGAGATATTGCGCCATATGACTGAGTCGTAGCCTACACCGTTAATTTCGGCGGTCAATCCCCGATCGTGTCATCCTCCCATTTGTGCGACATGGCCAAATCCCGAAGCCATGCCCATTTCATTGACGGTATGCTTGGTGATTGACCTCTTCCGCGGCGGTTGGTCTAGGCACGTGGGGCCAGCAAGCCTATCAGCGTTGCAAGAACTTCTTTAGACACTGCTGCAGACTGAAGCTTATCAGCAATCATAGGGAGATTCTAGACCAGTCAATGGACCGTAGGAGCTTGAGTGTTGATGAATGTGAAGTGCCTGTGCAGTGGGTGGTTATGGCAAACATACACCTCATCCAGTATGTACGTCCGATAAAGTTTTCGTACCCGAGGGGTCCGACTGGTAAGCATCCACGGCAGCAGTGGCGCATTTCCAGGACACCGGATAGGAGATAGTGTACGAGCCAATGGTAAGACAGTGAGACTAGTACCTCGCTGAGAAAATTTTTGTGGGATCAAAAACCTAAGAGTTTAATCTCCTGGCTAGACCGGGGAGGGGCGCGGAAGAATAGGAGAGAGTTAGAGTGAGAAAGAGAGGGACAGAGAGAGGGGCAAGAGAGCTAAAGACTAGAACAGAAAATGCCAAACAAACATTTCTTGGAATTTCGCGCACTATTGCCTTTGACACTCCTCTTTCCCTCCCAGCCACCACCTTTTTTTTTTTCCGGTTGGTTGGCCCTGGCTTTGTTGCGCTGACTGACTTTTCGCCCCTTTTGCGACCATGGTCCGGGCGCGTTGGCGCGCAAAATGACCGCGATGGGAACTGTGTGCCGCTGTAGAAACCAGAAAAATTGAAGACAAGGTGGTGGTAGTGCACGGAGATGAATTGATGAGGGTTGTGTTAGCCTGAAACTTGCATGAAAATATTAGCTATAGTTTTGAAGAAAGTCATGAATGCCCAAAATTGGAGCTATGACCTCTGCCCGCGACAGCATCTATTGCAGATGGTGGGTAGCTAGTAATTGGATGACATTTCCCCTTAATCAGGATATCTGTCCAGCGATAACCCTCAACGGAAATCCCTCATTGGTGACATTCATGTGATGTAAAAGAGTGGAGTGCATATGCAGAGCACAGAAGCATTGACATTGCTAATAGTCAGTCACAAAGCAACCCAAAGGGTAAGCGACAGGTCTGCGACCGTTCTATGAAATCGATCGTGATAGACAGGAGACAAGGATTATCAGGGCCCTATGACGGGAGTTCCTGGTCAACAGGATCGCCCACGTTAGCGTCTTATCACGCAAGATAAGCCGGCGGTCGCATTTGCCACAGACGTGATGGGATCTGCGGATAGCACCGGCTCTGGTGGGAGGGATCGCCACCAGGGTACGTACGATGTTTCTATGTACAGAGCATGTCGTGGAGGCTGTGGTGGTACGAATTGGATGTGTCACCAGAGTGATCTTCGACAATCCAGACTGGGGGGGAGAAAAGTGGAGGGAACCATGAAAATCAATCAATGAATGGATGAATGTGACTCTGAGTGTGACTGTGACAAGCGAGTTGAGAAACTGAGACGGTGACAGAAATCTCCACTAAGTATCCGAGAATAGAAAAATACCACGAACAAAAACAAAAACGGACACAGAAATCTAAAATAGAAAAAAAAGCTAACAAAAAGAAAAAGCCGGCGAGCTTATCAGTCCCACGTGCCCGTGCACGGACTGTCTAGATGGGCTTCTGGAACATTGGCGCTCCTTCGTGATGATTCAATGGCTGATGCGGTCCCTTTTACAATTTTGATTTTTGTTTCAAGATTGTATAATATTTGACGTGAGTATGATTGTTTCGAGTCCAGATGCATTGTTCACACGCAGCCCATTGGCTCCAAGTTGACTGCATCATCAGACGCGTCTCAGGAACAGCAGAAAAGAGCAGGTTCGCCAGGAGGGACCCGCGATTGGGCTGTGTATGTCGGCCTGAATTGCGGGCTGGAACAGTCGGTCTCCACCGGGCGATCCACCGCAACGCCGATTTGGCTTTGGCAGACCGAGTTCTAGAGCGTTCGCCCACCAGGTTTTCCTGTCCCATGACCTGGCGGTTATCAAGCTTGCTCATCCTCCACCCTGTCAAAATGTATATAGGCCTTCCCCGACCAGCTCGGAGAGAATTCTTTTGACATCCAGACAAGCAAAAGCCAAAGCTCCTTCTTCTCTCCGGACCTTTCGATTCTTTCGCCCTTCCCTCTCCCATTTCGGGTGCGGGACTCTGCATCTGCCCCTCCATTAGCACACGCAGCAGAGAGGCACAACAGAACTACGCTAGACCATACAATGTCCTACACTTCCTCCTCCCGCTTTTCCAGATCACCTTCCCCCGCCCCTCGCACTAGACGACCTTCTCCGTTGGAAAGAACCTCATTGCACCTCCGTCTCAGCCTGCTCTCCGGCGAGAAATATGACCAGGAAAGCAGTGCCAAGGAACCCGATCTTCGTCGCTGCCTCAGCCATGCCCACATCCACGCCAAGTCCATGGCTATGGTCAAGCGAGACATTCGCGTCCACATCCGCTCCATGGGCATGGCCATGGACGATGACAGCGACGAGGAGCTCCTTGATCACGAAGTTCTCCCGCCGCCACCGTCGCGCCGATCGTCCCGCAGCAGCCTCAAGTCCGCTGCGGCCCCACGGGTGACGGTATCACCCAAACCCAGCGAGAAGTCGAGTCTGCTCGACAAGGGTCGCAAGTGCTTGGAGAAGCTTTTCCCTCGCAAGAACAACGTGCATCTGGCTCAGTCTAGAGTTACCGTTGTCACTTGAAGCCCGTTTATCTCTTCGCCTGCTCGTCTCTCGGTTTAAACCCCCACTGCTAGTGCTTATCGGTTTCGCCACCAACCTCTACTACCCATAGTATGATGATATCCATCTCTACTTGTGGTAATCACGCCATTTCGGGTGCCCACGCCCATACCCATGGTGCTTCACTGTCACCCAGACTGCCCGTCAGAGTCTCTTGTCAGTCCTATTCATCCCGCCAGTCCGTTCGAGACTGGCGCGCTCTCATCCGGTTGAGAGCCTTGACCTGACGCCGGCTTCTGGTCGTGAAGTCCATATTACTATCTCCTTCACTCTTTCCTACCTCAATGTATCTTCCCCAATCATGTTCTTGAAGCGGGCTTCAACGACCACGATGTTCGGAAGTAATGTGTGCCTGTTACTATTTCCTTTGTTTACTTGTCTGGGCTTGGAGTTATAGCGTGCTTTGCTTTTGCTTAGCGATGGATACCAATTAGAGTATAGAAGACCATAGATTAGGTTTCAGAATCTATTTTGTCAGTGACATCTATCTTCCTCCTGCTCAAATGTAGTGTTTCTTTGTGTACCCCCATCCTATTCCTAGATAACCTGAATGACTCACCCAGATCACCACCAGCACCACGTTCCACATAAGGTCGCACAACGTAACCTTTTACAACCCCCAAAACAGCCAATCATACTACTATGCACCTCATGACTCGCAAATGCTAATAAGTACTCGGCCCCCAAGCCACCTGGCACAACCCCGCCGTGGTAGGAATAGGTCTACTCGGGCCGACGATAACAAAGCCGCTCTTGCAGCGGCTAATTTGATATTCAGCCTGAACCGCGATAGGCCGACAGTTCCCGGGCCATCCCTGCATGCATGCAGGTCACCCCCCTCCTTGGCCGCACCTGCATAACCGAGACGAATCTCGGTCAAACATGTCGTGCTCTGTTTCTCTGATGCCGTGCAATGCCGCGCGGGCCTGAATTGCGGTCGGACCGACTTTACACCTCATACTTTCCCAAGTTGTAATATGCCTGTTCGGGATTTGTTGACGCCACCGAAGTCATTTATGTTGTTCTTTCTTTTGTTTGTTTGTGTCTTATCGATTGCTACTGATGATTATGAAAGCTTATTGGAGTTTAGTAGGACAATGATATACTGATTAGTAAGGATGGAAGGTAAGTCTGGGCCTCTGCGCTATCCGCATGCGGTCGCGCGGTTCGAAGCTTCATTCGGCTGGATGTCACCACAATCTCGACTAGAACACGATAAACTGACATGACTGGTTACTGAGACAAGCCATTATGAAGATAAGACGAAAGATAAAATGAAATATAAGTTGAACAAAAGAAAGAAAATGGGTACACCCCATTGACTAGCCGAAAATGGAGAGTTAAATGGTACACATCCATAGCTGAAGCATACTTTATGTCTTCAGAGGTGAGGCAAAAACGTCGTCCAATCCACGGTGCGATAAGCGCTGACTTCCAAAGCTCTTAGTCCAACGAAAGCCTCGACAATCAAGTATAACCTTGCAGCAGCATACGTGCAAGCAAGCGGGAATATACTCCAGAATTCGGCCTTCAGTGGCAGTACCTTGGAAACCTTGGCAGAGTCCCTTGTCAGTCGCGCTTGCTCCACGTCTTCCAGCTTAGATTTCCAGAAGATCCTGCAGAAGAAGCGCTACCAGCGTGACAGAGGCTCGATTCCTCCGTAGTCGGCCAGAGTCTTCCCAGCTCGATTCCTCTCCAAAGAAAACTATCCACCCAGTAAAATATTCACCCAGTCCGCTCAACCATTCTCATTACTTGTACGCTCCACTTTAAGATAAAAAAAGATACAATTTGCGATATGCCAGCGACATTCGCGGACAGTCCATCAATAACTGAAACACTCCCGCGCCAGCGGCCTTCTCCTCTCCTCCCGGGAGCCATTGCGGAAGAACCAGCATCACCAGAGAAAGTCCTCTTCGATGACGGTACCCCCATTCTTGTCTCTTACGACGAGATCCCCGAGTGGTATCAAGATAATGAATTTATTCGACATGGCTATCGACCCGTCTCAAATTCCACCCATGCGTGCTTCGCCAGTTGGCTGTATCTGCACAATGAAACCGTGAACATCTATTCTCATCTAGTTCCAGCCGTCTTCTTCCTCGCAGCAGAGGGCATGTTCTATCAGTATCTTCAAGTCAAATACCCAGAAGCCACGTTATCCGACCACGCCATCTTTGCCTTCTTTCTCCTGACTGCTGTTATATGTTTGGGTCTGTCGACTACCTATCACACATTAATGAATCACTCCCTCCAAGTCTCGGAATTGTGGTTACGACTCGACTTTGTTGGCATTATTGTTCTGACCCTGGGAGATTTCGTCTCGGGTATCTACATGGTCTTCTATTGCGAGCCTCTATTGCGGCGGATATACTGGGGCATGGTATGTTCCCTACCACACCGTTTGGTACACAAGAATCTAACAGATATTTAAAGATCATCTCACTGAGCTGCATCACAATAATGATCCTCGTGAACTCCAAGTTTCAAGGACCCCGTTGGCGCACCTTCCGTATCTGCAACTTTGTGGGTACTGGACTATCTGGCTTCGCGCCTCTGATCCACGGTATCAGCATCTATGGCTTTTCCCAAATGATGGTACAGTCCGGCATGCCATATTACCTAGGCGAAGGAGGGCTCCTCATTCTAGGTGCACTTTTCTATACTGTTAGTACACCGACCTAAGAACTAAGTCCCATACTGACAAGTGAATATAGATGCGCATGCCAGAATCAATCAAGCCTGGGAGATTTGATATTTTCGGTTGCTCTCACCAAATATTTCATGTTCTGGTCGTCCTTGCCACGGTTGTTCAGCTAGTTGGTATTCTCTCTGCGTTTGATTATAACTACAACCATGGCGAATGTAGGCTGCCACGACGTGACGATTTCTCAGCATTATGACCACTCAATTATAACGATACATATCTTATATCCGCGCTCATTTCATCTGTGTTTACTAGAGATGGTGGTATAGAGACGAAGTTCGGCACTTACTATTATACGCTACAACAATACCTCCCGTCAGCATATAAAGAATCATTTCAACGAAACCAGCTATAATTTCCTATAAGACACACCTTTTGTACTACAAAGAACGCCCGCTCTACCATAATGCAAATCATAGGAGACTTATAGAGTAGACATACTTAGTTAGGTCTCATCATCGATGAACAAATTTGAAGAAAACCCCAAAGAAAATCATTATTTACAACAAAAGGTGCATCAAATTACAATTTCAATCTGAGATGGATAGAAAATAAACTGGCGAAGATACGCAAAAAGAAAAAAGAAATCTCCCCGACTGGGAGTCGAACCCAGGTCTCCCGCGCTTGTTCCCGAAAGGGATTGACAAGCGGAAATCATGACCGTTAGACCATCGAGGACTTCTTATTAATATGCTGCATCTATTTGCTATATGGAATAAAGAAAAGATGACCATAGCCCTACCATGGCGGGTATGGAGGGGTAAAAGTAGTAAATATATTACGATTTACTTCGCGAGAATACCTAAACTCCAAATGATGCCCAATGTTCTCATACATTATATACTAGTATGGAAATAGGGAAAGTCTCGTAGACTCACAAGTGGCCTGAGACGAGCTCACCACATAACATGCAAGGCTTTCTGACCTGCTCCCAATGTTGTTCAGCATATCCCAGTTCCTGATTACCTTGCATGGTATTGCTCAACTTCCCGTTTCATCTACCTGTAATATGCATACGAATCTCTATATATCAAACCATGGTTCGTAAGTCTGCACCGTCGACACGGCGATTTCCGCCAGGCTTGTTCCGAACGGGACGTTCCCGTGCCATCCACAAGGACCGAAGTAAGAGTACCTGACTTCTCTGTACTAAGTACTATACGTAATCCACCTACCTTTCAAAAGGCTTTCTCGGAGAATAAAAAGATATAAAATCGTCACTAGCGGCTGGTGGCACTTCCTTTCGCAGTACAACAACTACTAGCTTTCCTCTCAGCTGACTGGTGCACTGACCCCCACAATTTGCTGCCTAGCCCATCTTGTGTCTGTTTACGCGCCTGCATCTTCCACTTAATTCAATATTCCCACATAGTAACCAGTTTTGCTTGAAGAGACACAATGGAAAGAGCAGCAAGCCCAGTTTCCACTTTCATCGGGCTAGCAACCCGAGTCGACCCTTCGCCTCTACGGCCCCCTCAGGAAATATTCGTTCATATCCAGGAGATGTATGACTCTGGGAAACCATTCTACACCAAGGAGCTACTTCAGGATCTCAAGAAGCAGCTACAGGACGCTCGCGATGGAGTTATCCAGAGTATACGTGTGCCGGGGTTGGATGGAGTAATTGTTGAGTTTCCAGTACTCATAGGGCAGGTTTATCCAGCACATGATGAGCCTGGTATGGAGTACATTATGTATGTGTGTTTATTGTTATGTTTCTCATGCTAAGGTGGTGCAATGACTCACTGACTTTAATTTACAAAGCCAAAACCCCCCGCATATCATATTCATCTCTGCAAGAAGTACTCGATGAAGATAACCTAGGGGATTATCTGCCCTACAACCATATCGAGATTGGCCATTACAAGTATCTACGGGATATCCGCACCAAGGAGCTGTACTTGAACTGTTCAATTAATTCCGTACCTGACGCAAGCAAGCTTCTACAAGAAAGTCACCAGATTTGGGAGAACACCACAGAGTGCCAAGAGCTTCGGGTAAAGCTCATGTCACGAAAGACTGCCCCTATATCCAAAATCGTTGGGATTGCGCTTGGGTCTTTCGCAACAGTCTACCCTGATTTCCAAGATCGATCGGCTTTTCAGCACGCTCTACTTTTGACTCTGCGTGACATATTCTGCAAAATGCACAATGTGTCACAGGATGCTATTCCATGTTTTGCACAGGACCCGGTGTGCATGAAGAATGATGCAGTTGCTGCAGGGGAGCATGGAATTAAGATTGTAGAAGACCCCGACGCCTTCCTCGAAGTTGATGAGTCTACAGTTGTGGTTTCGGTTGCTCCGGATATTGCTGTGCGGCAAATTGTCTTTGATATAGCTCGGCCGGCTGTTTTGATATGGAACAAAGTGAGGGATCAGAATGAAGATCACATGTGAGTTGCTCATTTTTTCTTCCTCTTCCTCTTTTTCTTCTTCCTCCAGTGTACGGGATATGGAACCTTATCTTGTGTCTAGGACCGACCCTGTCTCTCCACGCGTGTTGACTTGCATACGGGAATACTATGACGAATTTGATTTCCCTGATTATAATTCAAATTTTTGGGACCTTGCGGTATACATTCGTCGGAATTAGGGTGGAGTCAACGACGACGCAGGATATCACACCGAAGAGACATGTCAGAACAAGGGCCAACGGAATTGTCACATGATGTCAACTATCTGCTCGTCATATAACTCCAGTCCTAAAGATCTGAAGCCCGCGTGCACTGCTATATTACTAGCACTTTTCGATTCTAGTTCGGGGGGTAGGTTGAGATTCCATAGACGACATCTAGCTCGGGCATTATGCTCGAACTCTCGTATGTCCCAGTGACAGGATGAATCCAGTGATGTCCTCAGGTCTGCCATGAAGTTATTTTTATCCATATCCAGAATCTTGTAGAAATTCTCGTAGTTATCAATCCACTTCTGAGGGAGCCCATTACCAGGAAACGATTCCCAGCTGGCGCCAATTATAGTTTGACTATATTTAAACAAAGTCAATAGCTGTTCCGTCGTTTCTGCCCATCCTATAATCTTAGGAAGAGCCGTCATCATCCTTCCCAGCACTGGAGTCCATTGTGGTCCTTGAGCCGCTTGTTCTGGATTCAAAGGTCGTAAAAACGACCAGATAAATCGACTGAGATCCCATGAATATGTCCAAGGCAACTTCACACCGCAATATAATGTAGTCTGGATGTCATCAAACTTGTCCACTAGTATCTCAAATTCTCCCTGTCTCCCGGGAATTTCCAAGGTATTTACTTGTCGAAGAAACTGCCATGTTGCATGTTGATCACGGAACATCCAGCCAAACTCTCTGTTTGAATCTTCCCATTTATCCCACAATCGTTTCTCAAGTTTCGGCAACGGGCTTTGCAGATATAGAGAAAAGCTGAAGACCCTGTCTCTGACGCTGGCGAAGGGTATGGGGATTTCGTCATCGCTTAAGGTGATGACAGATTGTTGTGTAGTTTGTTCCATGAGCAGATGGAATTCTCGAATCAGACTATTCTCTTCAGGAGACAGTTCTGAGACGACGTACCGCTCATTCGGCCGTTCACTGGCCCAAGGCAGCAGCCATCTATTGCTAGGAGGTTGTCTGAGCGAAAGGGCGCAGGTCGATACGAAATGATAGGAGCCTGTGACAGAATCTTCTCTAAGAATGACAGGGTTGTTGTATCCACCGAGAAGGAACAAGCTATCTTGCCCTTGCTTATATCCTCGATCGGGGAAGGAAACCGATGGAGTGGCTCTTTCATCAAGCGTCATCCTGATCTTTACACGAGTTGGACCACGCTTGATACTGCCACTTAACCCGCAAATCTTGATAGCAGAAGTGCGCAGGATCGGCGTAGCCACGCTCAGGTGGCGTTCACAGTCAAAGGCAAGGTAGGATCGGAATATTACACGACCTGAGCCTGAGATTTTGTTGTGTTTTCGGTTGGATCTTTGATTGCTTGTCGGAATGGGTGTAGCGGTCGTGGATAATGCTTGCGACCAGTCTGGGACCCAGGAGGGGAGGTCGAATGTCTTCACCGTTAGACCTGCTAATTCGAGGACATCCATAGTGCTGCAAGCCTTGATAAGGTACGCAGATAGACCGGTGTATACTCTTTCAACGGAAACAGTGTAGTCGGGTTCAAGTTCACTCTGGGATATCAAGCTAAGCACAGCAAATACCTTGTCCCGCGGATCGGAACATTCGTAAGAGGATGCTTGTGCTAATATGGGCAAGAGATCACGATCGGTAAGCCCGTACCAGTGTTCCTTCCGAAAAAGCCAGTCGGGTATAGGAACGTCATCATGGGCCAACGCAAAAGGCGCTTTAGGCCATGGAGCTGAATGTGCACCGCATAGTAACTCAAGGTTCGGAGCTAGTAACGCTTCAACAAGGAACCATAATCTGGTGAACAATGGTCTTTCTAGAAGGATTTTCAAGGCTCTCCGAGTATCTTTGTTTATATGCTCATGGCCAGTGCTCACTTCAGAGCCTGTTACAGCGATGCTGTTGAGAAAATCCAAAGCTTCTCGACTGTCGGATGTTTCTTCACCCAAGTAGGCAAGGACTTTAGACGCCCTTTGGCAGATTTTTCGTTTCAAGGAGGTTTGTTGACTCTTTTCTTCGAGGTTAGCATGATCGATGCATAGTGAGTCCACCCATAATAGTCGATCAAACTCCTGGTCCCGAATAAAGCGAAGCGCCTGTTGGCAATTGTATGATACATGAACAGTGTCCCAGTACTTGCCTACGAAGACAATGTGGGAGCTGCCAGAGTCTTCGTTCTCGTTGACTGAGGCATATGATAAGACTTCAAAGGATTCAGCTGGGCAATTGTGGATGTTCACCACTTCCAGGTCAACATGAAGCATACTATCGAAAGGGCCAGCATTCAACCTTACAAGTCGTAGGTGATCTTTGGAGGGCAATGTCGGGAGTGAACTTTCCTGGGAGTCTGTCCGAGGTTCGCTGTCGCCATTTTCTGTGCTCTCCTCTGATAGTTTTGGCTTATTTGAATCGAGACATGATGGCCACAGAGAACTATGAGACGAGTCGTTCAGTGGCAATGGTGGATCTGCGACTCTTGTTTTCTGCTCGATGATCGCAATGGCGAAGCAATGATTGCAACACGGAATACCACTTGCCACACTGACATCTGGCCGTTTGCAGCTTGAACTGTGCCAACGGCTCATTGTGTGTTAAGTTGATGAAGAGGATTGGCAAAGTGAAAGACTGAGGGTGATGGTCTGGAAGAAGAACGTTTTGGTCAGGAGGAGAAAGGACAAAGGGCTGACTGGAAGATACAGATGAATCGCTTCTTTCAATATTCGATAATCGTGAATCACGAAAACTTGGAATTCTGATTACCTTGGTCAAACTGAAAATCAATAAGAACAAGCTTGATGCTTGGAGCTGAAGATGGTAGTTATCTGATCCAGTCGAAAACTCTAGGCCTCATTTATAGGTGAAGGCACGTGCTACTTCACCTGGCATTCAAGGATTTCGCCGATCTCTCGAAGGTAAAACCCGGATTATCATTACTTTCCAGGTATCAAACCCATCTATAACTCACGGAATTATTAATTCAAGGAGTCCCACACTACTACTTGCCATCTACTGATGTTAGGTAGAGAAAAATCAATTCAAATACGGTCAAACTATCTCACACAACCCAATAACTAACTAGTCAAGGAACCCCGTCCCCTCCAAGTCATCAAAGTTACGGACACTTCTCAGGTAGTCTTCTTTCAAGCAAAGTTTCTTTGAATGAGATAAACAGAGATTGTAAATATTTATGTAACATACAGGTGTAATATCCCTACTGGTGTGAGGACCTCACAACACATTCATGCGCACAGCACCAAAAGAAGGAATCTACTGCTTAACCATAGAGACAATATAGCTTTATATGATATGCCATCCGGTTTGCAATGCTGTGGAAATTTTCTGAATCTATAAATGTTCGAGACATTGAATAAGTATTAACAGTTGAAGCAGTCGACATCTAAAGGGACTTGTGAGAAGTTGAACAACTCGCTGGGCTGCACATTGAGCCTGTTTGTGTCGCACAAAGCTCAAATTGGTGCGTTTAGTTAGTATGAAAGCAATCACCCATAACTACTTGGAAAGGTGTTATTCTACGGCTGCTTCTAGGAAGCTAAAACTTCCTTGCGAAAGTGTCTTTAATACCATGGAGACGTGAAAACCTTTACTTATCACCAGAAGGGCAATAAACTACGCAGTCGTGGGAATGGAGTAATTTCAGCCCACCTCATTCGATTAGAGAGTATAATGTTACATTATCATCACTCATAACCCTAAAAATCCACCGCACAACTCCACTCTGCAGTACAATTAGCCAGCAAGTATGCATACACATCCTCACCGTTACCCGTCCTAGTCTCCTCGCACGTAACCAACGGCGATGAACTATCCGTCGACTTGACACAACGGGCAGTATTCCCTCCATCGGCATCAGCACACTCCCACACCCCCGAGGTGCTCGATGTCTCAGTGCAGGAGTAGCCGCCGGAGACACCACAAACGGACCAGTCCGAAAAGGTGAAATCAGCGACCAACTTCGTAGTCAGGGCCTTCCCTGTATTGGAATTGGTCGCTTCATACGCAAGGTCCTCGCAGAAGTCCCCGTCGGTGGTATCTGCTGATGATGCGATAACTTTATTGCCGTCGTTGACCGTAATACAATTGGAGTTGACGCAGGACTTCTCCACTGTCTTGGTGCGCCAAATGGCAAAGGCCTGGGAGGTTTCCGTGGCGGTTGCCGAGGCTGTAGAGACGGTTGTGCGGGAGCCAGAACAGTAGCTCACATGGTCGATGATGCCCGTAGTAGCACAAGCGACGATATCGCCGTCCGCTTGAGTGAAGGTGTAAGGGTACGGATCTATGGTGCGGTCAACGCCCACGGTGGTGCGAGAACCAGTGCAGTAGCTCACATCGTCAATGATGCCGGTGGAGGCGCAGCCGACGATCCAGCCATCGGCCTGGGTGAAGGTGTAAGGATATGCATTGGTGGTCGTCTTGGTCGGCAAAGCTGTGTATCCGCATGGGTTGGTCCCGACAGTGAGGGTTGGGTAACTTCCGCTACCTCCGCTGCAAGAGCAGACGGTGTCATCCGATCCACTGTCAGGATCCTGGGCCTCTACACAAAGAGGGCTGCTGGAAGTGATACTTGCTTCGGCAGCGGTGCCGGTTTCCGTGGCGGTGATGGCCGCTACCTCACTACCGTATAGGGATCGAAAGACGGATCCCAGGTATTGATCGATAGATGTTTGCAATGCAGAATTGGTGGACGCAGCGGTGGGAACGAACTCGTAGTAGATGGTAGTGCCTGCTCCGCCCATGGTCACGTCCGCCGTTTCAGTGCTGGTGCTGGTGCTGCTCGTGCTGCTGGACTCGTCGTCGCTGTCGTCTCCACTGTCATTGCTGCTCCCGCTGCTGCCACTGCTCCCGCCACCACCGCTACCAACTTCGCCCCCAAAGCTCCCATCCAGATCGAGGTCAGGAGGGCAAACTGCACAGGCGCAGAATATGAGACCTTTTTTCGTCAGATTATGTGCTCAAAATGTACGGGAAAACGAAGGAATACTTACAGTCATGACCGGTGTGCTCTCCAGATGAGGTAGGGGTCGGTCCAGCAGGGGATCCTGTGCTCATTCGAGTAGTATGAGTGTTCAGGACCGGATCAGTAGTGCTGGTGTCGGTGGGATAAGGGTGTGGCGTAACAATAGTCGTTGAAGGGGACAGTGTTGTGCCCCCTGTCACGCTGGTTGTGCCCCCAAATACTCCAGTCCATGCGGGACTGGTGTAGGTGGCATTTCCAAAGGACCAACTGACACCTGCAATAGTACTTGTCGTACCCCCATAGACGTTTGTCACGCCGCCCACCGTTCTATTGGGTACGTAGTCAGCTTTCATTATATATATGGAGAAATGGGGATAGGGTATTTCTTTGAAAGGAACGTTGGCTACTCACGGGGTATACACCACAGGAAAAGGAGTGGGAAGGATAGAGCTGGTCTGATAGACCCTGGATTGGCCTGGCGTGATGGCCTGATTCCAGACATTGATATAATTGGTGGTAACGGGAGCGATAGAAAGTCGCGTGGGAATGGCCGAATTCTGCATGGATTTGTAGGTCACGACGTTTCCGTTGGCCAGGGTTGTGGTCTTGGTGGCCGTGGAGGCCCATGTGATGTGCGTGTCCCACTCGGTGAAGGTAATGGTGGTTGTAGTTTCCAGCGGCTTGGGCGGCATGATCATGAGGCAAGGCGGCACGCAGGTTACGACTGGAGAGGGCTCCATCCAGACAGTTGGGTCAATAGTGACAGTAGTAGTGCTCGTGGTGGTGGTTAAAGGACTGGTGCCATCATCATCATCAACATCTGAGTCTCCTAGAGGATTGGTCTCTAGGTCAATGGCCCACTCAGCCGTGCCACCGAAGTTAAACTGCTTGTAGTATGCCATCCGGCTCGCGCGCGTAGTGGAATTCATGTAGCCTACCCATTGGGTCTCGTTATAAACCAGAATATCAGTATCGTACGTGGAGTAAGTCTGGGTCGTCGTATCCGAGGCTAGAATCTCCTCCATCTCGGCCTCAGCGATGTATCCGGCTGTGTCAGTGCAGGGTCCTGCGGCGCCCGCAGTATCATATGTACACCACGACTCATAGCAGCCCGCGGTGGTCATATGAAAGGAACGGCCGTAGCTGGAGACACCCACGCGAATGTCTTTCGTCGCTACCCCAGCTTTGGTGATCATCGCCAATGCCCACATTGTTTCCGTCATGTTCACATGCGAGAACAAACAGTCTCCGTCGCTGCAACCCCATTGCGAATACTCGTTGCCCAGATCCCAGATACCATGAAGATCGTAAGTCATGTAGTTGATATAGTCAACGACTTCGGCCATCTCAGCGATTGGGAAGGCTTTCAGATACCAGTACGATGACGGAGCAGTTACCGAAATGATTGTATCATTGGCCACGAGTGCACGCAGGACTTTCAGAAATTCCAGATAGTTCTCGCCTTCATCTGAACCACCTGCCGGAATCCCGGAGATATCAGGCTCCCCAGGGTACTCCCAATCGAAGTCGACTCCATCAAGTCCTTTCTCGGTAATGAAATTGGCCACATTCGTCGCGAACGTCTCACGATTTGCCGCAGCGGTTCCCTCACGGAATATCATATACGTGCTGCTGCTCGTAGAAAAGTCCCATCCACCAAAGGACAAGATTCGATTAGTCCCAACCAGTTTTAGGAAAAGATTGAAATCGGATTCCATCCCATCTACATTGATAGAGAAGTCGGATGCAATGTTTCCAAAGCCGAAATTGACATGCGTATACTTTGTTGTATTCACGTCAGAGGCCTCCCATCTGAGACACGTACGGTTGACACTGCTGGCTTCCAGATAACCAATCACATCATATCCCGACGGCTCCTCGGCATAGTTGGTAATGTTCGTTCCACAGTTATAGATGCAACCATTTGAGCCAGCGGCTGCGGTACCTGGGGCACCTGTGGAAGCTCGCGTGTCATTGCAGTACAATGGGGTAGTACCACACTGGCCCCAGACATCACAACATGCATTTAGAGGGCACGGGTTTAACTGAGCCCAGTACCAGGAAGTGGGTGCATCAGTGAAGTTGGTTCCCGGCACCTGGGGCCCACAAACAGCGTTGGTTATAGCTGCCGGGTAGGGGGCATTGCCTGTGGAAAGACAAATGTTGGTCCCCGCCTGCAAGTCATCACATCCGTACCAGCCCCATGTATCGTTGTTGTAGGAGTCGATCTCCGCGACCGTGAGGCTATAAGTCTGCGCCAGCGCCGAACAAGTGTCACCGGACTGGACTGTGTAGGTATAACAGGTGCCGTTGCTATAAGCGGATGGGGAGAAATCTGGCAAACCCCCGGAGGAGCAGCACACATATTGTCCAACTTCCAGTGTCGAGCATAGATCTGAGGCAGTATTATATTGATAGAACTCAGCAGCAGTGATACCACATTCTGAGACGAGTGTAGCACATGAATCACCTGACACGACCTGGATATAAGAACAGCTGCTGTCACGATGAGCCAGATGAGCGTGGGTGTGTGAATGAGTGTGGCCGTGGAAGTGGCCGTGCTGAGAACGACGGCGAGTCAACGAGTGGGATGAGGTAGTTGTATTTGACGTAATGGTAGTGAATGCACCCGTACTGTTGCGAAGCCCTGTTTGACTAGTCCACAGGGTTGTTGTTCCAGAACTGTGGCTGTCATAGTCCGATATACACTCGGCCTTGCTCCAGGATTGGATGTATTGTTGTACAGTAGTGAGGTCTCCGTTCGTTGAAACTGCCACACCCAAAGTATTATTGGCGTTTGAACCGCAGTATTGCAAGATTGCTCGGTCGTAAGTGGAATTTCGTGACAGGGAGATCATTTCATTGAGTGCAAAATCAACGTTGGGAGTCAGCTGCAAACTGCCACCAAGGTAAACCCCGACGCTTACTCGATTAGAGTAGCCGAATAATTCTCCCTTGTGAGGGTTGGCAATCAGGTAGCTATGCATATCTCGCAGCAGAGCGAGAAGCTGCGAGCTCCCCGGCGGGGAGCGGGCTTTCCAAATGCCAACCTCATATGTAACAGGAGAGCTGGAGCCGCTGTCGGATGAATTGGTGCTGAATGAACCCCAGGAGGCAAGGTCTCCAGGGGTTGTGCAAGTGTAGATGGTTGAATGATGTTGAGGATCAGTCACAGTGTTGTAGATGTTGAAATCGAGAAGCATGCTTTCATTACACTGCGCGAGTCTTTCCAAATCAGGGTAAACAAACCAATCGGCTGGGTCTGTGCTGGAGCAGGGAGCAGGGCACGGCTTCGGCTTCTGCACTCGAGCTCGTGCCTGGATTTCACGCTCCGTGCTTGCCAGCGCTGGGTGAACCAGAAGGCTGCTCGCCAACAGTCCACCCGTGAGCTGCGAAATCAGGCGCATATCAGGAATTGCCGCTGTTTATAACTCAACAGTCGTTAAGAATGCCAGGAGTATACAAAAGAGAACATAAGGAACGACTAGAAATGCGAGGCTGCAAGGAAGAATTGTAAGGAGAGACACAGAGTAAGAGAAGTAATGAAGGGCGGTGCTAAGGAGAATCCGGCAAAGAAACTGATCTTTGGTGCTTCACAAGTGTTGAGAAATATAGCCATTTTAAATCATTTGAGGTATACCACTCATTCTCAGGCATCACTATCACACAATGATTTATAATAGGCTGCAATATTGTGTATAGTATCATTCTCTCCCCTTCGTTTGGATGTAATTACACCCGAAATAAAATTGTTGCGGAGACCCACTGGTCAATGCAGGCAGTCGTGACCGTGCAAAGGATCCGGCCCGAAACTAGTGAGATCCGTCTCAACCCTAACACAGATCCGGGGAAGCTCAAATACAACCAGGCCACAATTTACCCCTACCAGTAAGATTTGGTGGGACCGGGCAATTTCCGACTTGCCATTTCAATTTCTCGAGTCCGACCACCGGATAGCTGCGGCCTAACCGGAGGAGAATGTTGTATGAGGGATTTACTTGTGTCTGGAACGCGATACTGGCTAGTTTTTGTTAGTTGACCACGTCCATTGAGTGTCATTTCCCAATAACAACTCAGACCATGAGGGGAGCTCAACTTGCATCGCTATTGAATCCACTGTCTAGTCCAATTTGAAGATGTTATTGCAAATTCTGGTGGATGGGCTAATTCTTTACGCGGTGTGCTCACAAAGGGGCTGTGGACGAGCGAAGCGTTTCACCGAAATCGTCATACTATAATGGCGTCGGAAATATAAATCTAGTTCTGATTTTCCGGTAGAAAGAGAGCATTGTGAGTGACTATACTTTCAATGATTTGAGCACCGCAATGTTCCGATCTCTTGTTGCCTTGGGGCTCACTATCGGCCTGCTGGCCATGCCAGGAGCTGCCGTTACGGTAGACAATGCCTTCAATATCTATACTGGTACTGGTACTGGTAGCTGCGCCAGTCGATTGTCAAAGCTCGAGGACTATTGGATGGATACCAATACCTTAGCTTCCGGCCTTGCAACTGCATTCAGTACCGCCGGTGATGAGGAGGCGACCAGAGATCGTGTGGTCGCCCAAAAGCTTTTCACGGCATGGCTGGGAATCCAATTCGATAATTCCGGCGACAAACCGGCAATTAAAGAGAAGTCTAGTCAGACCTCCATGGCGGCTTTCATGGGTAAGTGGTCCCTTTGCCGCTTTCAAGAGATATACCTCTAATACGTACGAAATCAAACAGAAAACTTCGGTGTGCTAAACCAATTCGTGGCCAGTGGAGAGTATTCGTCTTTCAAGTCTCCGCCTAGGCTATTCTGTGACAACTTTGGAGACTGGTTTGACTGGACAGATCAAGCCTTTGACGCTTCAGGGAATCCCGTGGAATTGAACGGAGTCGCTCTGACTATCGAAGAGATGTATGAGCAAGTAAGGGAACAGAAGGGATATGAGTCTCACCGCCCATACTGGGTTTCTGACATGGGGGTCTATGTCTTCCCAAAGCCAACATCGAACGGCGACTTGTGCGGGGCGAGTGCAAACGGCAACCCTCTTCAGGGGGTGAGCATTCCTGGCTACCCGGCGGGATACTACCAGGCTACCATCAACGGAGAGACTGAAACCATCGAATACAAAGCCATGGAGGACATTGTGCTGCTATGTCCCGACTCGTTTGATAGTCAAATTCCGTGGGAGTATGACAATCTCGCCAGCCTGCCAGAAGTCGAGGCAGAAGACGGCGAGTATCTGTATGATGCGATGCCCCGGAGCAGCAACTTGTTCCACGAACTTTGGCACCTGGTGACTTTCTGGCTGGGGTTGCAGAAGTTGGACGGCGATGAACCAATAACCGGTCGGCTTACCGATCACTCTTGTAAGCTCCTCCCAGTGGCTGCTTATTGACCAAGTCCTTGCGCTGACCCGACACTGTAATTCTCAATTGCCAGATTATGTGGAAGAATGTCTTGCACTTGCGGCTGGTTGGTACGATAATAAATATGCTGAACAAAACGTCGAAAATTATGTTTTTTTGGCAATGAGCTGGTGGTACTGGGTTGAAGAAAATGTGGCCTTTTACGACGGCGAATCTCGTGCCTGGGATTGGGTGGGCGAAGAGGGGGAAGATGACGATGATGGTGATGATGATGAGGAGGAGGAGGAGGAAGATTAAGGGACCATTGTCAGATGCTATATAGCCGTCGTCAGCGACCGGTTGGCCCCGGTAGCCAGCTTCAGAGTGTGCAGACGGACAAAATGCGGCTTCTTAGCTATAATGATCAGAGACATTCTTCCGATTCCCGACTTGCTTGATTGAAGCATGTATCTTGCCCTCTCGTAGTCAGATATAACTAATCGCAGTCATGGATAAATCTAAAACCGGACTTTTGAACCTACGAACGGATGCAGTATCCAAAGTCAGGCTCGCCCCACTCACCAATACCCCAAGGGTTCTAGTAAGCCTCAAGGACTCAATAGTTTATGGGTCCATCCGCCCGTAGAGCGTTCGGAGATAAAGCTTTCCAGGCAGACCCACGGGAATTTCTTTCGGCCGCAACTCCCCGAACACACTCTACTACTAGTAATCTTTTATTTACGCACTAGATTGTCCCAACCAATCTTGTTTCACTTCACCTTCCCTTTGGAAACCCCCCATCACCATCAGCAACGAGCCACTATGGACAAGCTTCCACCGGAACTTATTGATGCCATCGGAAGCCATTTTGATTACTCGGACTGGTGCGCCCTCCGACTCACATGCAAGATTTTCTGTCAACTCTCTTCTTCCCACTTTGCGAGTCGTTACTTCCGGCGTGTCAGTGTCATTTTAACTCAGGAGGCTCTTACGGCGCTTGAAGCCTTTACCCTGCAAGAATCATTTAGAAACGTGGTGGAAGAACTGAGCCTCATACCTCAAGTATTTGGGGACTACGAGGTAGACCTTAATGCTTTCGAAACAATCCTACGCTTCTGTACGCCTGGAAGTGAGAACTGGACAACCGAGGAAGTGCAACGGCAGTATATGATTTACCAGGCTGCTCAAACTGATCACCTAGCATTTGCAGAGTCGAAGAGTTTAGTAGAGAGTCTTACTCGATGCCTGAATCGATTGAGGAATGTTTCTACTATAGGGTTGCGACCCTACCCTCCCTCATGGCCAGGCAAAGAAAAGAGTCTATTCATCTGCCTGGGCATGCGCGCTTTGCGAAAGCAGCTGCCTTTTGACCCTTGTGTACGGCTCCTGATGCCCAGTGCGTGCCGCTTTGCCGATCGGTCTTCAAGCACGTGGGGTCTAGTGTGGAACATGTGGAACGACATAAGGCATCCGGTTTGGACCAAGGGGCTCACCAGACTCCTCGAAGCCATGTGCGCCGTCTCTCCCCCTTTGAAAGTCCAAAGGCTATATACCTGCTTGGTTGAAGATGAATTATCGGTTCCTCCTGACTGCTTCACTCTATCCGAGCCTCTCTATCAAAGCCTTGGATGTGTTCTTCGTAAGCTACAGAACCTGGATATTTGCCTCAGACACTCGATTTCAAACGATGCTACTGAATTTCTTTCTTCTCTCGCTATCCGAGCTGCTCCAAATCTCCATGTTCTCCGGCTCACCTTATGGGATCAGTTCCATGATTTAAGCCCGGATCATTTCGACAACTTGGCCCAACAAGTTAATTTCACCCACCTTACAGAACTTCATCTCCATTGGATCGAACTCACTCAGCCTAGCTTCCAGCTATTCTTAAGCACAGCCGCTCCAACCCTGCAGGTCCTGACCCTGGTTGCAGTCAGCTTGAATGACCCCATTTCAGTAGCTATGGGACCTTCACGAAGGTTCCGTGCAGCCGTATCCACTGTTTGGCGTCGCTTCATGAATACCTTGCGTGACACCATTCCATCTATTCGCTACTTCAAGATGCGGGCACTTGCATATCGCCAGAATAGATTTGAAATGATAGATCCATCAGAAAGGGAGCTCATGACTATGGGTCACTGTCTCAGAGGCCAGCACTCAAAAACCCACTTCTACGAGATCAATACAAAAATGAGCTTCGTCGAATGGATCGATCGTATGGAACTGTGCATACGTCCCTTACGCCGCCCTCTACCAAGGCATCGCGGTAAGTTGGTAACATGTGAAACCTCGCGACTTATGTCCATCACTAACTTCCATAACTTACACGATAGAGCTTCCTAACGGCAAAATTACATCTCCGACCCCAGAGGGGAGATTTCAATGGGCACGTTGACTTGTATGGATATCCTCTACAGCTGGCGTGAGCGAGATAGCTGGGAAGCATCTCTCAAGATACAGTGGGGGAAATGTTCTACCCACAACCACATGGGCTGATTCTAGGCCATCGTTCTTATAGCGGATTACATTCGCCTGGACAATCCTCGGAATCAACACTAGTAGGATAGTATAGATAATATGCCGTGTCAGCCGAAAACGAATCCCCTCATAGTCCTACAGTATAAATAAAGACATGATCAAGGTTCACATCGCCCGCCAGCTATTCTGTTTCTTCTTTCACCCCTCCCGAACAGGCTCATCTGCTATCAAATTATAGTCTCTAATGAGCCAGCTCAAGAGTGCACTGCATCCTGCCAAAGCACAACAAACAGCCCATACAATGCGTAGACTATCCGAATACGCCGTCTTCAAATCCTCTTTGGCCGCAGATCCCGGCATCATCCGCAGGGTCTCCACCAACGAAGCAACATCCCTACTGTATTCATCTGCATGAGGCACATGAGCTGGATACTTCATGAGATTAGAGTACATGCAGTTCTGGAAGATGACACCCCCGATTGCGATACCGACGGCCTGCCCCAGCGACCGGAAAAAGCTGCACATAGCCACCGCCATGGTCAAATGACGCGGCTCAGCAGATGTCTGGATCACATATATTAGGGCAGGAAAAAGGAACCCGAGTCCGAGGCCAGGGACAAGCATTAGACAGACCCATCCAGCCACGCTTGTATGGGTGTTGATGATGCAAAGAATGCCAGAGCCCAAACAGGCAAGAAAGGATCCGATGATCACAGCCCAGCGGTAGCGGCCCCAGCGGGTAATCAGTAGTCCTACGATAATGGCGCTCGGACACAGTGTAAATGTGAGTGGCAGAAGGGCAGTCCCGGCCAATATCGGAGTGTAGCCTTTCACGGCTTCGAAGTAGAAAGGGAGGTAATATAGGACACACGACAGGATGAGGCCATGCGCGGTGACACCAATGAACCCTACTATTGCGGTAGGCGTGCCGAATATGGAAATGGGGATAATTGGATCGACTGCTCGGGAGGTCTCGTGGTAGGCGAATAGTATCATGCCGATCATGGACAGGAAAATTGGGCAGAAAGTCTGGACTGAGCGCCAGGGGTAGATTACGCCGCCCCAGGTGACTCCGATCAGGAAAGAAGTCATACTGGCCACGAACAGAACCACTCCAGAGTAGTCGATACTTCGGAGTTTCGCCTTTAGAGGAGCGGGAGTGGATGAATGGGCTTTGAGGCTTGAAGGTATGAGGAAGAGGGATGCTCCGGCGATGGGAACATTGATATAGAAGATCCATCTCTAAACAATGACACAGTGGAGGACTGTCAGCTCATTCGAGTGCATAGTTTAAGTAGTATTTGGGGACAATAGTCAATGTATACCCAGATAACCCGCTCTGCGAAGCCGCCGCCCACGACTGGCCCCGTCACAGAGCCGATGCTCAGTACTGTTCCAATCATGCCAAAATAATGGCCACGCAGCTGCAATGGCACCAAGTCCGTAATGATTATCTCAATCAGTGTCACAACACCTCCTCCCCCCACGCCCTGCAGTGACCGTCCGACAATCATGATGGTGAAATTCTGCGAGGTGGCGGCCACAATGGCACCGACAACAAAGAATAGAAGGGCCAGCATGATGAGTGGCTTTCTCCCGAAAAGCTGCGAGAGGGACCCGAAACTGGGCTGAAGCACTAGTATGATATATATTAGTTGGATAAGCATTATGCGTGACCCCTGATAATCTTACCAGTAGAGCATAGTAAGTATGAAGTCCCTGTCCAAAATGCTTGGATTGCGGTTCCACCCAGCCTGTTGGAAATAATCTTGACGTTGTTAGTTACTGCTACCCATGACTAACCCAATTATTATTCTCTCACTGGCAGGGCAACTGATATAGATGTTCCATCTAGAGCTACCAGCAGGGCAACGGAAGCCAGCGCTGTGAATGAAAGGATAAATCCTTTGTCCACATGGACGGCCTGCATGTTTGCACGCTGTGTCTCCCCCGGTGCCATTGGCCTAGTTGGACATTAAAAGTTCCTTGTGCAGCTACAAGCTTCCTTCCGTGACCGTTGCCGTGGGTAGTGTTGCTTCAAAAAGACCAAGCGGCATCACTTTAAGTTGCCAGCGCCTAATAGAACCTTGAGTGACTTTGCCTAGAGATGTGTGTGTCTCTGCCCAATGCAAGGGATGGAAGGTGATATACCAAACCAGTACGGAATATCATTTCCATGTCGAACCAACAATTATCACATTCATTTCAGGCCAGCTCCTTTATAAACTTTAATTTACTCATGTGAGCTAACCCCACATACCATCAGAATCCAATGACTAAACAAATAAGAAACAGATAACTGTGAACAGTCCGTTTAACCGCTCTCGGGACTGTAGGTCACTGATCTAGACGGACTCCTTTCCAGAGCTTCCTCTACTTTTACTCCGTCTATCGTCAATTGTATTTAAGAATAATAGGAAAGATCATGGCTCCGCTTAAATGTACACAACTTCGCAAGCTATATACCTCTAGTAATTGCCTAAAAATCTCCGCCGCTACAATACCGTCATGTCAGGTACCGTTGATGCTTCTATTATCCACTGACCCATAGGATCTAGAGAATCTGGATTTGACCCATTGAGGCGACGGTCTTGTCTTCCAATGCATTCATGGTAGCACTTGCAGGACTGACACCTATTTCCGGTCCACGACTCTACCCTGCCACTCCATGCTCCCAGAAACCCGCCACTATAAGATCCTCAAAAAGAAAACGACGAGTACAGAAAAGCCAAAAGCCACAAAAACAAACATTGAACGCCTGTCTAACCTCCCCTTTCCCCAACGGAAGCAATGCAACAAGAGCTAATTGTATAATGATACCTCCCGCTTGTAGAACAAAAAATAAAAACTGATATTTGGGGCTCGACGGCCCAGGAAGTTGAGATGCCGCGAAACAATGCATGTATCCGGATAATCCAAATGCGACAAGCAGGGCGGATATCCGAGAGGCAATGTTCGCTCGCTGGGAACCGGTTGTAAGCCAGTCGGCGATGGATTTGAAGCCATATGAGAAGTAGGAGTGCCAAAAGCCACCCCAGAAACCTGTATGTTATTGTTAGTTTTACGACGATATTTGTGTTGGTCTGGGATAGTTACCGAGTATTCCCTTCCTAGCTACTGCATTCAGCGAGCCCCAGGGGCTGGGATGAGCCCATGGAAAGGCATATAGCCCAAGAAAGCGCGATGTATCAAACGCTGTTACGATCAATGTAGATTTCGTGTTGAGTAGATCGATGTTGACGACAATAGTAATCAAGGATACCAGAAGGGAGAGCAAGCCAACAGCAAAGTTATAATTGCTGCCAGTATTACCCGTCAACTGAGACTTGATGAAAGGGAATATGTTGAGCTGACAAAAGATAACCCAACCGACTTGTCCAATAAAGCGCATAATTAAGTTCGCGAGACTAGGTGGATAAGAGCGACTTGAAAGTCGTTCTTTGCTCGTGCTCATTGGCGGCTCTTCGACATCGCTGGGAACGCGGTAACTCCCCCAACGATAGTTCCAGCCTATTCCCCTGAGATTGATGAACAGATCAATAGTCCAAGCCAAACGCTCCCAAGACATGTGAGGTGGGAACCTCTGCCATATGAGGTCAGTCTCCCCGGATGTGGTCGAGCCTTTTGTAGCGCTGTGGAGCTCCTTCCGAACGGGTAGAAGCCTACAAAATTCCTTGCTCGGATTATGAATGACCACAAGCACAAAAGCCCATATCCCCATCCATGCTTCAAACAGTCCCACCAGGTATGCGAAGACGGGGTTTTCGAACGTCACAGACAGAAGGACTTCCCAGGATGTCAAGACCACAGCCAGTACTGTCGCATATCGGGTGAAGGCGTTTCGATAAAATATAGGGGGGAAATTCAGCGCCAGCAAAATAATCACCGGACAGATGAGAATGGAGGACGATTGGAGGGGTACAAGCGTCATTTTAATGAGATGGGTTCCGCGGGTTTTGGCCTGGGTAGGATTTAGACAGTGGGAGAAATACAAGTTACCAAAGTTTCATATACGGGGGGGGCAGTAGAAGAGCTAATAAAAACTTCCTAATATGTTTATGATTTTTAACGAAGACTTGACTTTAGCTAATTAGCACTTGTGAGCATATTTAAGCAGTTCCTGACTCTGCATTCGGCATTACCCTTGCAGGGGTTTGCAATACTGCATAATTTCTATAGGTGCTAGACCTGCATGAGTCCTGTAAGTGTGGATTGCGGTGGACTGAGCCTGCAGCTACAGACTCGGTTCCATAGTCTGTATGCTTCTGGCGGTAATTAGGGGCCATCGGGCGATAACAAATACTAATTCTGAGGTATTCAGATTCGTTATTAAGACATATATCATGATATCTCTGAAGGCTTTAATCTATCCGTTGGAAGGGATATTTAGAGTTTTTTTTTTTTTTTTTTTTTTTTTTTTTTTTTTTTTTTTTTTTTTTTTTTTTTTTTTTTTTAAAAAAAAAAAAAAAAAAAAATAGTGATGTCTATCTGTTATATTGCATCCCAAAAACTGTTATTGCCGGTGGCCGCTAATCCTCACCGTAATATGTTCATTCCATGTATTAATCTGCATGTCTTGTGACCAAACCAGGCCCATTCAAGACAGACATCATGCATAAGGTTTGTTAGTCGATCATAAGGCAACAAATCCCTTCGCGGGGCTTCCATTTCTTTCCTTACATGCCTGATGAAAGTATTTATGAATCCAGCGTGGCTATTCATCATTCGTCTGTTCTGCTTGTCTACCTGCACGTTTACCTCCAGCCCTTACTTTGTGACTGCCAGGTATCAGCGTCGATTCAACCCTTACGTCAAGGTCTTAAAAGTGGAAGCTCTTTTGCACAGTCTTAATGTTGCCACGATTTCTTACTACGTAGTTGATTTCCGTGCACTATATTTATTATTATTTCTATACGTCTCACGTCCGTACTTCAACTATGCTGGGCTTCAACGTGGCTTTGTTAGCCTGTATTGCGATATTTTACACCTTTCGTCGACTGAGGAAGATTTACAGGTTGAGGAAATTACGCCAGTCATTATCTTGTCGTAGTCCGCCTCGCTCCCGAAAAAGAGGGTCCCTGGGCATCAATAATGCCCTTGAGCGGCTACGATTCCGAGGCGACATATTAGACGGATTATTGGTCAAAGGATTCGAGAAGTATGGATTTACCCACGAGATTAAGGAACCAGGCCTACATGCTATCATGACAGCACAGCCTGAAAATATCCGAACCATTATGTCTACCGAGTTCGAGAGCTTCGGACCAGGTAAAATTCGAAAGCGCAGTATGGCTCCTCTGCTCGGCCAGGGCCTGTTTACAGTTGATGGAGAGAAATGGAGACATGCACGAAATCTGCTTCGCCCGCTCTTTGTGAAGAGTAAAATCACAGACCTGACACTTGTCCACAAGCATTTGGAAAGGATCTTGGATTTTACAATTCCCAACGACGACGCCACTTGGTCTGGCTGGACGGGACCCATTGATTTGAAAGGTCTTTTCGAACGCTTTACAATGGATACGGCCACTGAAGCAATCTTTGGACGCAGTGTGGACTCCCAATTGTGGGCCAAAGCCTCAATTTCCGAGGGTAAAGTAGACGGTTCTGCTGCCAGCATGACCCAAGGTTTTGCCAGAGCATTTGATATCAGCCTACTGGGGATAGTGATCCGCATGGTTACCGGGCGCCTCTTCTTCCTTTTCAAACGACGCAAGTTCAGCAGCGCATTCAACTTCGTCCAGCGATATGTGTCGCTTCAAGTCCACCATCTGCTGAAAGATGACCTGTTGCAACCTAGTGGGATACAAAAGTCCTTTCTCGCTGCTCTAATGGAGGCCGAAACTCTGAATGGAAAGCAATTGCACGATTACTCGACCAACCTCCTCATTGCTAGCCGTAACACAACGGCCGCCCTCCTCAGCTTCACGTTTGCCCTACTCTCCTTGCACCCCGACATACTGGAGAAGCTCCGATCGGAAATCTTGTCAACATTCCCGATCGATCAAGACTCAGACAGAAGTAAAAATAGGCCCGATTCGTCCACGATAACGGCAGAGAAGCTCCTCCAATGTCGATACTTACAATGGGTTCTATGCGAGGCTCTCCGACTCTTTCCTCCCATTCCAATAACGGCAGTGGAGGCGAAGAAACACACTGTGCTGCCCATGGGCGGTGGTGAAGATGGCGATGCTCCCATCCTGGTTCCTAAAGACCAACTCGTAATTTTCTTCCCGTATTTCGTGCACCGTCGCCGCGACATATGGGGTGATGACGCCGAATCATTTCGGCCCGAGCGATGGGCCAATTCTCCTCCTTCCTGGGCGTATATTCCGTTTGCTGGTGGTCCGCGAACATGTCTTGGCAGTAAGTTATTCTACTTTTCTCTCCTACAGGCGATTATCCCTCACATCGCTACAGAGCAATATGCCTTGATCCATGCTTCCTATGTTGTCACACGTTTGTTACAGACCTTCAGTCGTATAAAGCCGGCCCACCCAACAAATGACTGGCTGTCTGCCGAGACGGAGTCTAACCGTTCGAGACTGAAGGTGCGCTCTATAAGGAAATCTGGCTTCATTTCTCTTTCTCTACGAAAGTTTCAAGTCCACTTCTGGAAGGACGAATCCTCCTGAGCTTCAAAATGTGACGAATATCCTCGGAGGCTATATATGGTCTCATGCAGATGGATATTATTTCATAAAATGAATGAGCATAAAGCATTCAAATGAGCTCGTGCATTGCATATAACACCAATACAGAACCCCTCTTGTCTCTAGGGAACTAATATGCCACCTTTCCGAATTATCACTACTGACATCCGGGTTGCACGTTCCTATTCATTTAAACTCATGATTACATTTTTGATTTTACGATCTTCATTTATGGATATACATGGGATATCAAGGACAAGTGATATCTTTTTTTAGCGTTCTACGAAGAGAGTGACCAGTAAGTGCAGCCAATCTCGAGCTGAGATTAGAATTGGATAGGTAAGGCATAAGAAAATGACCGAATATATGTGAGAATTAACCCATTATCCTTGTGTGCTAGCTCATGTGGCGTTCTTTGTGCAGATAACGCAGGAAATGAGAGGCTCAATCGGCCAAGAGGATTTGGAATCAGCAAAGGTAGATAGGCACGAAGACCATTCGAATCATGAAGTCCTTTAAGAATGTCCTCTACAGCAGCAACACCTTCTGCAGTAATCGTACCATTTTGGGCCAACCCATACCCGGTGGGGGCACTGGTCACGTTGCAAGAATAAGGTATGCCAATTAAACTTGAGAGGTTGAAGTTCAACTTGCACCGATCAGTGCGAGATACCACGCCATCAGTGCGACCGTCGAGGGCGTCACAGGCATCAATGGTCTCATACATAATTTGCTTCAGCTCGCAGGGGGGAGGATAGTATCCCATAGTCTTTTCAACAACCGGTGGAAACATGTGGTTGATTTGTTGTTGCGAGAACGAATAGCAGGGGCTCCGGTAACAGCACCATCCCATTCATCAGCACGCGCTGGAGCTGACTCCAGCCCTCATGGCCTCCTTCCGAGCAAGCTTGATAATAGGAGTATAACTTCTCTGTTTGATGCATTCACTGTTACTGTAAGGCGGCTGCTCTACTGGAAGTTGGGCAGATGCGGGTAGATAACGTGGATGAATGAGGTGGGATGTACTCCATATACAAACCGAGGGTGACATTTATATAACGAAGAGATATCTCCTGATAGGATCCATTATGTTGAAATTGCTAGTTAAACCCACAACATTTACTACTAATTGGTCTGACTTTATTATCATTTTATGTGATGTACACTTTTGAGTACCTGTCCATACTATGTCATAGATGATTGTTCTGCAGATGTTCGTGAATTTTCTTCCCGGGATGCTTCCATGAACAACTCCCGTTGCTCATTTTACAGCTTGATTAAGAGAAATATGGTCTATACTAATTGTCCCACAGAGAGAATAAGTACATACGACCACAGGGTGTGGAAAACAGGGCTTCCCGTCCGCTCAGCCGTACTTAAGCCACACGCCGGGAGGTTAGTAGTTGGGTGGGTGACCACCAGCGAATCCCTTCTGTTGTATGTTTTTTAAAATTTTTTCTTCTTTTGATTTGCTTGCAATTATTCAGGTCAATAATTCCATCAATAGAAATGGACTAAGTGTTGTAAAGGGGGAAAACACCCTTCTTTCGACGGACACTTCCACTACTCCTGGGTTGATAATGTGACTTGCTCAGTTTAGCTAGCTTGTCGGACCACATTGACCCTTAAATTGGAGGACAGGAAGGATCAAACATATGTATATTATTTATCTATATCTCAAGATGATGGCTGGTAGGTAGGTAAGAGGCGCCTGAATAGAGCAGATGTCTCAGCATCAACCTACTGAGCATTCTCAAACTCCAAACCCGCCTCCTGGCGCACAGCGCCATACATACCCGCCACATCACCCCTCTCACCCATATGCTCCTTCACCTTCGCCATGTAGTCATCCGCCAACTCCACCCCCTTCATCCTGGCGCCCACCTTACCCGCCAAATCCATCGCATGACGGGCATCCTTCCTAGCCAAATCAACCGCAAACAACGGCTCCTTCCGCTCATGATAATCACCCGACCTCATCCTAGCGGAGTAAGCAACATAAGGACCGGGGAACACAGCCTCAAAGAACTGGTGCAAGGCATCCGTGCCCAGACCACACTTATCCGCAACCACCAACCCCTCAGCAATACTCTCAACCATACCCAACACAAATGTGTTACCGAGGATCTTCAACTGCGACGCCTTAGCAGGAGGCTGATCACTGAAATCCACAACTGCCTTGGCAAAAACTCCCGTCGTGTAGGGCTTGACCTGCTCGACGGCGGCGCGGGGACCCGCCAGCACGGGGATGACCTGGCCGGCGGCGGCCATGGGCGGGGCACCGAAGACGGGACTGGCGACGAAGTGGGCACCCTTGGCTTGGAGCCTTTCGGAGATGGAGGTTGTGGTGTCAGGGTGGACGGTGGAGCAGTCGACGAAGAGCTTGTCGGTGAGGGGGGAGCCGCTGGCGATGCTGGCGTCGATGATGGATTGGATGGCGGCGTCGTCGCCGACGCAGGTGAAGATGATGTCGGACTTGGTGACGGCTTCGGAGATGGTGTTGGCGATGGTGGTGTTAGGGTTTGCGGCTTGGAATTCTTGGGCGCGGGTGATGTTGCGGTTGTAGATGATTAGAGGGGTGGTCAGGGAGCCTTTGGCGGCGAGGTTCTTAGCCATGCCCTGTTATGAAAGTTAGAAGCTGTGAGTGTTGGTGAGTTATTGGGGATGGGGATGGGGATGCGTACGCGGCCCATGTTACCGAGGCCCAGCCAGGCGAGTTGAGGTGCCATTGTGTGTGATGTGAGAAGGTGATGGGAAATAGAGGGAAGTGGTCAAGGTAGAGACGTTGATGTCTTGATCTCAAGTGGAGGATGGAAAGTGTGTTGCTTCGATGATGAATATGAGAATGCCATGTCTGTCTGTGTTTATATACCTTTTGTCCTGGGTGTTCTGGTCATGGAATTGAGCAGAGCCAAGCTGATGAACAAACGGGGCAGTTCTACAAAATCATCCTAAACGGGTTTAGATTCCGCCCACGCTTGTTCCGAGCGGAGGCTAAGCTGGATTTGGACGGTGTTTTTGCACGCAGCATCTTCCAGAACGTGGCCTTGATGATTAATTCGGCTTAATAATGTAGCCGTCGTCCTTGATGATTGTCTTTGGATGTTTATCTGAGTTCTGTTGAAAGATTTCGCAGATGATGTGGGGTATATGTGATCTACTACCGTAATGCGCAGTTGGTGTTTGGGTCTGTCGGTCATTGTTCGTTGTCAAATGTATCATTTCCATATTGCTGTGTTATACTCAGGCCGTATATCGGTATTATCCCACTACAATTGATACTCGTTGTCTGACGGCTTGAAGTATGTGTGATGGATGCCACCGACGCAGGGACAACCGTGCTACGTACAGCAGACCCTGATCTGCCGGCTAACTTTGATCGGACTAGTCTGATCGAACAGGGCTTAGTGTCCGCTAGAGAAATTTAAGGTTAGTGCGACGGATGGAGACTAAGCCATAAGCGGAAGGATGGTCCGCACCCCGTCTTGCCACATCGCCTGCTTTGACAATTTAGCTATACCGGCCAGAATAGCTACGGGCGAGGTGCATATGATGAAGCTTGGAGAATTTTGATCGACTGCTTATAAATGCTGCTACTTGTACTGGGTGGTTCAGTTATAAACAAGGGACATTGCTAAGCGGTGGATCCGGTACTTAACTTCAGATGGAGAAAAGAGTGGCATCAACTGTGTGGCTACTCTAGTATCAGCTCCGGTTTACAACCACTTGTTAGTTCTTATCGCTCGAGAATTACATGGGGTGTAGCCTTGGCTTTGGTAGGGCTTTGTCGGTATCTCTAGGCAGTGTGTTTGGTGCCAGATTGGCTTCAGTCTGTAGGCTTATGGATCAGAGATCTTAGAGACTAAAACAGTAGGGGAGGTAGTCCCCCATGTTCGGACAGCAATGAGCCTTGACTCGAAAGCTTATCCTCCGCGCTAATGCAATTCTGACCTGATCTGAGAATCCAACGTTACATCTCTGTCTTCTAGGCAGGGACTTGCGGCATTTTTGGTCAAGTTGGAAGAAAAAAAGAGGGGAAATGAGACATTTAGCAGGGGTTAGAGCTTGACTAAAATGGCTGCCTCTGGATGAGCGCTTGGTCGTGGACATGTGATCCCAGCTTCCTCCTAGTTTGACAGGCGTTTCATATTAGACCAAAGTCTATGTCAGGCTGGATACCTGCCAGTCATCAATAAGATCGAAAAGTCTTATAGAAGGCCATCCTTCTTTCTCCCTTTTAAAAGACATATCTCAGAAGCCATTCTCTTTTCTTTCTTTCACTCTATCTCAAGCAAAGCTCAAACCCAATTCAATCCTCCCAGAGCAGAAACATGAAATACATCTCCAACTGGCATCCTATACACAGGGTCCCCATCGTGGATGGAAAATTCCAAAATCCCACTACTGGTGTCATTGAAGAGATAACCGACAAGAACTTTGTCATTTGCGGGCCTCCATTCATCAAAGCCACGTGGATCAATCTGAAAGCTGGCGACGGATTTCGCATTACATGCACCGACTTTCCACCCCCGATCGAAGATGTTTTTGTGGCTATTGCGGGCCATGTGAAAGAAAAGGCGTACGAAATCGAGAATATCAGCGCGACCAAGTATGAAGTGACGGTGGTCTGTTCAAGCGATCTGACTCAGGAGATGATGCACGAAGTGGTGATGCGGATGAAGGGGGAATTGTGGAAGGACGTGTACGTTCCGCCGGAGGCAATTGCGGCTTTCGAGGCATTTGTGGAAGAGGAGCGAAAGAAGGAGAATCCTCGGTTCTGATTCATTGTCTGGTGAGACAAGGCACAGGCTAGTAGCCATTTTTTGTGCAGTAGCTAACTCCACTCTGCGTGACTTGGCCTATGAGATGGTTCATTTTGGACATGGATTGAAAACTGGTGTCAAACATAACCAGTGGAAAGGGACTACAATAACAGCGATTTACCATTAAGCCTTATCCAACTGCCACTACATATAAAACCATACCCTTTATAGAAAAAGAGCAATTCAAAGGTCTATGCATAACTGGCTGGGGTATAGAATCCTAGCGAACTCAACACCGGCACTAAAATCTCACGCCGCTTGTCTCTAACCTTACAGCCTAAGCATGTACCCAAGCATTTCTTTCTTCTAATCCCTAAGCCATGGACCCCGAGTAAGTCCACTGCCACCGATATTATGCGAGATCATCACGATCATCTTCTGAATCACCGAGAACACCTGCGCTCTCTCATTCTCCTCAGCGTTCGGTTCCAGATGTCTGCTTTAGTACAATAGATTGTGTATGTTCTCTCGAGTATTTATGTCAAGGGTATTCACCAGCTGATTTTCTTACACTGTAAGTCTGAGGCTACCCCCTGTAGCCTTAGAGTGCGGGTATAAAGCCTATTTCTCGAGCTACAACTCGGCGGTACCCATAACTAGTCGTTTTTACCAACATGAATCCATCATTACGAGGCTCTTACAGAATGTGAGGCATTTTAGTTAGGCCGTAAATAAAATCCGCAAACCCACGATTGCTACAGCTGCGGGGTATATTGACTGAATGGCAGTTGAATCCCGGCAGCTTCGACTTCACCGTAACATCGACGAAAGCCCATATTTCTGCGGACACCAGGGCACAAGCTGCTAGGGTGATGATGTAATGGGCAGAGTCAGGCCATTGTTTTCCTATGAATGTGTGCACTGGGCGTAGCACCCTATACTCTGGACACAATGAGGAGCACACATATGTCGATTGTGGTGATGGCAATGATGTTGCCTCCACTTCGTCATCCGTTTCTGATGCTAGCACGGTGCGTTCCATCTTATATTCTTGAGATAATGACCAGCTCCGATGACCTTTGGCGAGGATACAAATGTGAGCGACCCATCATCGGTACTTCAAACCTGATCCAGAAAGCCGCTGACACAGGAGTAAGCCAGAGGTAGCGAGATTCTTTGTAAATACCATCTCAGGTCATGATCAGAAGAAAGCAGAGGTCGTTAGACAGAACCATGAACTGGTATCCCATAAGGTTATGTCAAGCTCGGATAGCCGTCCGGACCCACCGAACAGCACCGTGGGGTATATGATGTAATATCCCCTCAAACACCATATAAGAACCTTCACATCCATTCCATGATTCCTTTCCTCCCATTACTACTTCCCTCAATCTGTATAAGCAAGGCAATCCCACTGAAACCACATCGCACATCGTGGACACTCATCCTCATCCTATCCTCAACAACCTCATCATCCTACTCCACCACAAACACCCACCCAACCACCGCCTACTGAAGTCAACCAAAATGTCCACAATCCGTTTCCCCCACCGCTTCCTCCCCGGCACAACCGAAAACTTCGTATCCAACGAAATTTACGTCCCCAAGTTAACCGCCTCCCGGGTATGGCCGAACCTGATTACTCCCTCCCGCTGGACATCCTACTACAGCAACGTGGACCAAGTAACACCACCCCCAACCAACGACGGAACGTTCCAAAACCCCGGCGACAAGTTCAGTTTCGCGACATTCGGATTCCCGCCGCTCCAAGCAGAGATCTGCGAATGCGTGGCGCCCACGGCAACCTCGCCGGGTCGGTTAGC